CCCTGCCTGGGCTGAGCACCGCCGTATCCTCAGGGAAGTGATCGGCGGCGGCGACCTCTCGCGCCCGGCCTTAGTCGAGGCCATGGTGCGGAGTGAGAGGAACTGGGACGCCGTCTCCTCCTTTTGTGAAGCAGTCATGCTCGCAAAGAGAGAGGCGGCCCGCGTGAGGGAGCAATCCTCCTCCTCACGCCTCAGCAGCCGCAACTGGCGACACTTCGGGCGTCGGGGATCGAGGGACGATCTCCGGCCACCGTAAGCACGGGCCTGCGGTCGGCGAGTAAGGGCAGCTCGCCGCCCGACCAGAACCAGGCCCGAGCGTACGGCGCGTAGCGTTCCGCGCGCGCCTCAAAGAGCCATTCGACCACCACAGACGGGGCCCTAAAGGGCTGATGTTCAGCCGGGGTTGCGGGGTAAGCGCAATGAGGTACCGCGACCTCGGCACAGAGCAGGAGAAGGAACAGGGGGGTTTTTAGTCAGTAAGAGTCTGACACTCCCTCCTGCCCGGCCCTGGGCGGGAGAAGTCATTTGATGATTTTCCCCTCACAAAAAAAAATCCCGACAAACCCGTGACTGTCATACATAACTACATCGCAAAAGTGCAACGTTGCGATGAATAAGTCATAGTACATTGTCGTCCCTACAATAGATATAAGTAGGTACTTACCTACGCACATGATGCTAAGGAAAGTGATCAGTGGCGATCTCTCGCATCCTTCCTTTCTGGTGCTAAGCGAGAGGAAATGGGAAGCCGTCTCTGCTTACTACGGAGCAGTGATACTCGCAAAGGAGGTGGAGCGCGTTAGGAAATTCAACTCACTATCCAGCTACCGCAGTAGGCGTTATTCTGAGCGTCGGGGATTTTGAGCAACGGTCACCGTCAGCGCGGGTCTGCAGACCGCGAGTAAGGATAGCTCGTCGCCCGACCAGAACAGACCCGAGTGTACGCTGTGTAGCGTGCCGTGTGCGCCTTAAAAAGCCAGTAGGCCACCACAGTCGGGGCCCTATAGGGCTGATTTCAGCTGAGGTTGCGGGGTAAGCCCAATGAGGCACCGAGGCCCCAACTCGAATCGGGAGAAAGAACTAACTGGTTTTTAGTCAGTAAGAATCTGAAACGCCCTCTCACCCCACTTAGGACGACAGAAAAGTCATTTGATGATGTTCCCTTCTGAAAAAAGGAGAAATCCCCCTTTGACTTTTCTACTTTCCAATGATATTTCATGTAAAAGAAATAAAACTCGAAATAATGGCAAGATAGGTAATTTTATTAACATAACATAGATCTAGTAACATAACACAATATTTATATACACAAAAAGATACATAACAACATCAAGTTAATTAACTAAGAGGAGAATGCTAAATGCTGACCTTAATTTCCAACTTAGGTACCGTTTCTCATATAAAAAATGATAGAGAAAAAGTGACATAAAGAGAAAGATAGAGATACAAATACAGTAAAACGGGGTGAATAGATACAGAAGAGGGTACCGACGTCTCAATGCCACCATTGTGGTAATTGCCGCGACGATACGGCGCTGCATACGTTGGCGGAATGTACAGCTTGGGCCGAGCAGCGTCGTGACCTGGTCGCGGCCGTAGGTGCTGCGGGAAATCTCTCGCTTCCGGCTGTAGTGTCTACTATGGTCGGGAGCGAGTCAGGGTGGAGTACCGTCGCTACCTTCTGCGAGGCCGAAACGCTCGCAAAGGAGGCGGCGGAAAGGGAGAGAGAGGCTGCCTCCTCTCTCCCCTCCCGCAGCAGACGCACTAGACGTCGTAGGGTGGCCGACCTGCGGCCACTGTAGGGCGCGGCCTGTTAACGACAGACTCGGGGCGTCTTGTCGTCCGACCAGCAGCCGGCCTCGAGGCGGCGGCGCCGTGTTCCGCGCGCGCCTCATTGTGGAGTCCTGCGATCGGGGTGACGGCCGCAGTGGGTGACGGGGCCCGCCTTACCATCTGGCGGGCCAATACCCGTCGGGGGGTTGCGACGAATGCTTCGGCGATACCCGCCGCTCCGACACATGGGTAAGTGGAGGAACACCGGGTTGGTTTTTAGTCAGTAAGAGTCTGACAGTACCCTTCGCCCTTCCTCGAGGGCGATGGGTCTCTTTGAGGATTATCCAACCCGATACAAAAAAAAAACACAGATGAGGGTCGAATAGATATACTAGGAGAATTCGCTATCTATTCTATTCCGTTTCACGATACGTATTCTGGTCTCTCGGTTTAGGTTAACTAAATGTAAACAATCTTGGCATATCTTTTTATCTAAAAGTTGTCAATTTAATAAAGAAAAACGCCTAAAGAAGTTCGGACAATAATTGTTATTATTCAGAGCTGGTTTTTCAATAGTTAGATAAAAGTTACTCGGTGAATAATTATAGGTACCTAATGCTGTCGCGTCAGAATGTTTGTATAAGACAGTGACAGCAACAATTTTTTTCTTAGATAACTGTTATCCATAGAGAATTTAACCACTTTTATCTAACCATTGAAAAATCAGTCCTTAAAGAGGTTGGTAGGTATAGACAATAAAACTTCGAACAAATCCATTTAATTCTAATCACAGCACACAACACTAAAATAATAAATATACTTTACATCACGCCCTCTTCCTAGTACCTAGGCAGAGATGGTAGGTATTTACATACTTACTATATTAAAAAAATAATTACATACACGTATAAATTATAGGCACCATTTTTATATATTTTTACAAGGGATCAAGCGCTAAACGAGAAGACGGATTTTCTCCCTGCCTACAGTGCGGCCGACGTATCTTGGCGAGTCTAAAGTTAGCCGATTAGCTGCGCAGTACACAATTTTGTTCCTAAAAGTGCCATTGCGCAGACAAACGGCTAACTTCAGACTCGCCAAGATACGTCGGCCGCACTGTACCTGTGCGAATCGTGCACACAATAATGAAAATTATTTCTAAGATGTTTATTAAGAATTCTAACAATTTTTTTGAATACCTAATTATTATTTAATTGTTCAAAGAATGATTAATGTTTAATATTCTGAGTTTGATTTGGTAGTTTTTTAATTGGGTAGTTTCCTAGTCAAAAAGAAATTTATTTGACGTTTCAATCAATAACTGTACTGAAAATATATTGAAAAATAACTAAACTTTTATTTATCGATCGATCGATACACTAAGTTTTAGATGTTTTGTAGCTAATTATTAAGAAATAAGTAAGCTATTTGACGCAAAACTACTATGACGTCATAACTCACTTTTTCATAAAAATTTCATAGAAAAGTATCGTTTTTGACATTTGGATAAAAGTATTGAATTTGACTAGTTGGAAACTACCGTATTAGCGCACTTGCTCTTCATATGATTAAAACTACGCAACGGATTTTGATGCGGTTTTTTTTAATAGACAGAGTGATTGAAGAGGAAGGTTTATACGCATAATAATATCCATTAAACAGTGCAGAAATTTACTATAAGCATTGAAACAAAATCACATAATAACATGTGCAACACTGGCTATCCCATTTTTCTATTACTTACTACAATTACTTTAGTACAAAAACATACCTTAAAGATGAAATAACAAAAGTTATTTTAATTAAAACGATTAGTTTTAAAGAGGTAGGTTATTTTTACGGTTTAACAACCATTGTAGACTATACATAATACCGTTTGTGCTCAATAGATGGCGCTTAATACAATGTGTGGTTGGTTCGTCTAATATAGAATTCGTTATCATCAGCTTATAAGTGCCTACTGCTAAGCAAAGGCCTCTTTTCACACGGAGAAGGTTTGAGCATTAATCACTATGCTTGCTCAAAGTGGATTGGCGATTTCAAACTTGTAATTAGAAATTATAAGTCCACGCTTCCTCACGATGTTTACCTTCACCGTATGTCAGTGGTGTCTAAATAATCATAGAAAGTACATGTAACTCGGAAAAGGTCACATTGGTACTTGCCAGGTTTTTATACTTTGCTTAACGTAGCCACGTGATAACACATCTACATCAGCCCCAACAGAAGAGCAAAAGTAACGGTATTCTTACCTCATTAAATAATTCCTTAAAAAAATAGTTTTTGCACTTTGAATTGGTATCTGTATGGGCACTAAAAAGTACCACTCCGTATTACTAGAAGTGTAGTGTGTTGTAAATCATTGAAAATATTGTTTTTTTTTTATGTAATAGGTCGGCAAACGAGCAGACGGATTACCTGATGGTAAGCAATCAGCGCCGCCCATGGACACGCGCAACGCAGGAGTTACGAGTGCGTTGCCGACCTTTTAGGGATTAGGGATTTGGAGATTTAGGGATTGAGGAGGGATTGGGGGAGGGGAAGGATTGGGCCTCCGGTAACCTCAAACACAACGGTGTGGTTATTTCACGTCGGTTTTCTGTGAGGCCACTCCGGGCGAGCCGACCCATTCGTGCCCAAGCATGACTCTCCCACACTTAATTATTAATTATATCTCATAATGTTTATTTTTCTTCATAGAATCGCACTTTTGCCGTACTAATTGCACAAGACTTGGAATAATTATAGGAAATCCGATCCCTAATATAATACCTATAGCAGTTCCGTACCGCCAGTGTCACTAAAAAACAGTGTTTGACACAAAAATCTGAACTGGTACTAAAAGTACCGAATTATTCTAAGTTCAACTTAGCTTTAAAAAACTTTACATAAATAATAATCTTCGGTAACTTTCCCTTTAGATTTGCCAAATATAATACAAACCTGACAATTATAAATACAATAAAAACACTTCCAGATAAACGTAGTGTAGGGCGCTCTTCAACTAATTGGAGCGACGGCTCTGTATTACTACTAGATGAGAATATCTAGTGAAGAGACTGATGATTTTTATGGAAAAAAACGTACAGAATTACCTGATAGTAAGCAATCCCGCCCATGTACGTACCTCGGTCCAATGAGATATTTAGGGCTCCGGTAACCTCAATCACACGGCGAAACACAACGCAAGCAAGAAGATGTTGTCACTATCTATACATTTCTAGCTACTTTACCAATTTTACACACATATCTGAAGTGGCACTAAAAGTACCACTTGGGATTTTCTTAGCTGAATAAACAGCTTTTGGCGGTGTCTTGTATATTTTTTCCTTCGGCTATGTTATTCATGTATTTCTTGTATCCGCCGGCTAATATGCCCATTAGGATGATTGCACCAACTGAAGCATTGGATTTGAATTTCGATGCACAATCTTCGGGATTTTCCATGTCCAGGGTGTAAATCTGAAATGGGAGTTGAGAATTAGTTTTGCCTTCTCTACATGAGCGGGGTTCGGGACAAACGACGCGGGGAGGCGGGTCGGAGATCGCAGTGTGACAGGTTCCAGTTAATCAGAGCTGTGGGCCTACCATGAAGTGTTAAAGCGTCAATCTTTCGGGCGATAAAGAGTTTCTTTTTATGTGATAGGTCGGTAAACGAGCGAACGGATTACCTGATGGTAAGCAATCAGCGTCGCCCATGGACACCCGCAACAAGACAGGAGTTACGAGTGCGTTGTCGACCTTTTGGGGATAAGAGATTTGGAGATTTTGGGAAAGGGAACGGATTGGGGTAGGGGAAGGATTGGGCCTCCGGTAACCTCACTCACACGTCGAAACACAACTCTTTGGTTATTTCACGCCGGTTTCTGTGAGGCCGTGCTATCACTCCGGTCGAGCAGACCCATTCGTGCCGAAGCATGGCTCTCCCACACTTGAATGATGAGACGGAGCTATACACCTTTTATAGCTCCATCCCTATACCTCGCAAAAAAGATTCACCTTTTAACACGTCTTGGTAGGCCATCTGCTGCTGTCTGGACTGTATCGAACTTTTTTTAAAAGCGAATTCATGACTTCTCCCTCCTTAGCTTCGGTGGGGCGCGAGGGAGTGTCAGACTCTTACTGAATAAAACCACCTCGTGCTTTCTCCTTCTTTTTATATGATTTTGACGTGTAAAAGTGCCATTGTATGGCCTATTTGCAAAAAAATAAATTCTTTGTTTCATTGCAACATTTCTTTTACTTCGACACTTACATATTATAAAAAAAACCAAGACTCCTTATGTGTATGTTTCTCTGTCTCTTTCTCAAAAACTAGCAGTCCAATTTTCATAAAATTTTATCTAAAGTTTTAGACTTTGTTTGTTTGAACGCGCTAATCTCCGGAACTACTGGTTCGATTTGAACGATTCTTTTTGTGTTCGTTATTCCATTTATCGAGGAAGGTTTTAGGCTATAAAACATCACGCTACGATCTATAGAAGCCGAGCAGCGGGTCAAACCGCGCGAGAAAAGCTAGTCTATACTAATATTATAAAGAGGTATAATTTGTAAGTTTGTATGTAGGGTGTAATCTTTAGAACCGCTGGTCGGATTGCCAAAATTCTTTCACTGATAGATAGCTACAATGTTCCTGAGTTCTATATGGTATAAAACATCACGCTACGATCTATAGGAGCCGAAAAGCAGGTGAAACCGCGCGAGAATAGCTAAAAAAACATATAACAAAATTCTTGGAAAGAGCTTTAGTATATGATTTTTAGTTGTAGTTTAGCTTACCTGTTGAGCTGCATGAGCTATATAAGCTAATACGGCGAGTTGGTACGGCATTCCAAGGTCAGCAGCTTGTCCCGCCAAAGAGAGACTAAGTGCGCTGACGCCCAGACAGACAGACAAAGCCGGGCGAGTGTTCGCGCCAAACGTTAAAGCCGTTGATTTGACACCAACTTTCAAATCATCTTCTTTATCCTGAAAGAAAGAAAGAAAGAAAAACATTTATTTTCGCACAAGCGCACACACATAAAACAAAAATACAAAAAAAGAAGAAAATAAAATAATACAAAACAAAAATCTAAACTAAATGACACAGATAAAAATGAAATGGTTTTAAAAAACAAATTAATCACAAAAGAAAAAAACAAAAAGTTTTGTCAATGGTCCACAGAGTATTTTAACATTATGCGCGAGGTCGCGTGTATTTTTATTATCTGTGGACCACAAGGACAAGATAGTAACATTTGTGTTTGTAACAAACAATAACAAAAAACATATATTAATTTAATTAAATTGATAATTTCCTCCTTACTACCATTTTAACGATATAATGTGGTACGAGCGCAAAAAATGGACATGCTCAAAAAAAAAGTTAATTTTTTTCATAATCATCATCAGCCTATAAGTTGTACAATACTACAATTTCTCCGTGTGAGAAGAGGCCTTTGCCCACTGATGAGCAAAGGCCTCTTCTCACACGGAGAAAGCGTGGGAAAGCCATGCTTCGGCACGAATGGGTCGGCTCGACCGGAGTGATACCACGGCCTCACAGAAAACCGGCGTGAAAATACCTCTGTAAGACAATAAATATAAAAAAAAACTGTTCAAAAGTGTTGAAGAGATACTTCTTGTCATAATGCGATTGACAAAGTATATTTTATTCTTACTGTGTATGTATTGTATACCTGCTACTTTATTTGTGTTTTGGCACCGAGTTGTCGCTTCTGACATACCCTCGATGGTTTTTGCTGGTATGTAAACAAATTAATATGATTGTATCAATGTTGTTGTTTAATAAACGAAAAAAAAAAATCCTCAGCGTTGTGTTTCGCCGCGTGGGTAAGGGTACTAGAAGCCCACAATACTTCGCCTACCCCATCACTCCCCAATCCCCAAATTCCCGGTCTACTAATCCCCATAAGGCCAGTAACACATTCGTAACTCCTTCAGGGTGTCCCTCGATAGGAACATAACGCTGTGATTGTGTCACGCCGGTTTTCTGTAAGGCCGTGGTATCACAGCCGGCCCATTCGTGCCGAAGCATGGCTCTCCCAGACTTTTATACAGAAGACCTTTATTGAAAGCTCTTAAATACTATATGAGTGTAAAAGCTGATTTTCCAATAGTCAGATTTTTTTTTTTTACATTCTATAAACTAGTGATTGACGCTTGACTGCGATCCTACCTGATGGTAAGCAGTGATGCAATCGTTGATGGTAAGGCGCACTAGTTTATTAAGAGCCTATTCACTCTAGCATTGAAGACACCTAAATTATATTTGGACGGAAAGACTGCAGCCGGCAAGCTGTTCCAATCCCAGTGACAGCAATAATTTATTTCCTCAAATGTTATTTGAGGAAAAAAATTATTGCTGTCACTCAAATAACAAACCTCAAATAACATTTGAGGAAATAAATTATTGCTGTCACTGTCTTATACAAACATTCTGACGCGACAGCATCATAATTATTCCCCAGCTAACTTTTATCTAACCATTGAAAAATCAGCCCTAAAACATATAACAAAATAGAACTTACCTGGTGAGCATAGATAGTATCATAGACTATAGTCCAGGCCAAGGCCCCTATATACAGGGGGCCGCAAATCGCAAGGTTGAGATCACCCTGAATAGCGCTGTACCCAAGTAGAGCACCCCAATTGAAAGTCGCGCCCAAAAATATTTGAGGGTAGTTCGTGTAACGTTTCGCTAATGGATACGTTACGACTAGGACTGAAAAAGAGAATTGTAATTAATACGGAAGTTTCCAACTAGTCAAATTCAATACTTTTATTCAAACGTCAAAAACGATACTTTTCTATGAAACGCTGAGTGATGACGTCATAGTTTTCTTGCGTCAAATTGATTACTTATTTCTTAAAAATGAGTTAATTAATAGCTAAATGTAGGTATGGAAAGATCGTTCGATGAATAAAAGTATGTATAGTTATTTTTCAATATTTGATTGTATTGAAAAGTCGAATTAATTTATTTTTGACCTAGGAAACTACCCAATTCTAGTTCAAGTCTCGTCTAGTTTCAAGCTACGCCGGGGCTCATACATCATAGTCGAGCACTACCGCAAAAGAAAACAACAACGCTTGCACCAACCGCTTTTTTTCTTGTCAGCAGAAGATTCTTATGGTAAACAGTCTGCTTGCGAGCACAGCTTGTGCATTCAGGTCGAAACCTCAAGCCTGTTTTTCGCGTTAATACCCGCGTAATAATTACATATAATTATTATATGTTGTTAACATCAAACGTAAAAGTTTAAAACTTAGTTAGTGTCTTATGATAGTCAATTTTAGACGAATGGAAGAGAATATTGGGCAGAATATTTTATTGCAAGTAAAAAAAAAAAGTTTTCTAGGTAAATCATTTTAACTATTCAGTAAAAAGTATTATTAAAATACACGTAATCATACTTTCATTCATAGATTTGACTACATACCTACTTTAATTTTTTATTTTTACAAAATTAGTATAATTGTTTTCGTCAAAACATATTGACGTCATATGTTGCGATCTCGTATCAAATTCATAAAAACTTATCATTCTTGACATTTCTTTTTATTTAAATAAAAAAAACGTTGCCCACCCTAGAATTTTCTCCTGTGTCGTGGGTGCGTTTACAAACATACAATTTCACATACACATCACACTCAGACGCGGAAAAAAAAATTGTGGATTAAACAAAGAGTTGTTCCGTGGGAGAATCGAACCCGCTACACATTGCGTGGCTGCCAGTTGCCCATTCACCGCGCAAACTGTGCAGTCGGAATATGAAGTTTTCGACTTTACGTGCGGCCGCGCCTGTACATTGTACACGCTCCGCAAACCCTCTCAACGACCGCGCGCTACATTTATTATTTTTGTAAGTGGACAGTCATCAAATGACTTCTTCCGCCCACGGTCGGACAGGAGGGAGTGTCAGACTCTTACTGACTAAAAACCCCCCTTTTCCTTCTCCTGCTCTGTGCCGAGGTCGCGGTGCCTCATTGCGCTTACCCCGCAACCCCGGCTGAACACCAGCCCTATAGGGCCCCGTCTGTGTTCTGTGGAGGTCTATTGGGTCTTTGAAGCGCGCGCGGAACACTACGCGCCGTACGCTCGGGTCTTGTTATAGTAGGGCGACGAGCTACCCTTACTCACCGTCCGCAGACCCACGCTTACGGTGGCCGGAGATCGTCTCTTGAAGTACATAATATTTAAAGGATAAATACTCACGCATACTGCTAGCTCCAAGCACAATGCTGTAACAATTCAATTGTAATAACACAGCCAGTGCTAAGCTAAGCTGTACTGCTAGGAACACTACGGCTTGCGTCTCAGATACCGCCCCCGTAACTAAGGGACGAGTCTTTGTTCTTTCTACCTGGAAAATGAAATATATTCATCATCATCATCATCATCAGCAGGAAGACGTCCACTGCTGGACAAAAGCCTACCCCTTAGGGGGGGGGGGGAGGTTGCCATAATCCCCACGCTTGGCAGGCGGCTTGGGGATCGCAGTTGGGTCACCGATATATGGATGGAATGCTGCTGCCCACTCCTCGGTGTCTGGTCGCAGTTTAAGGACGTACACGGGTCCGATATTATCAACACACTTCCTCATAAAGTGGCTCTAATCCCACGGCAATTAGGCACGTAATGACACCTATTTTTTTTTATGATCCAGTCCGCCGCAACCTCTCAAAACCGCTGCAACTTCTGTGCACCAGGATCTACAGTAGATACAACCATGAAAACACCGGAACACTGAAGTCCGGCGCGTCCCAGGGACATGAATGACTGTCTTGGATCCCGCAACGAAATGAATCAGAAGATATTATTTGCGGAGCAGGATTTTTAGAATGACTTAGGCCTTAAAGGCACAGAAGAGACTGTACAACTGGGAGAAGCCCAGTCACCAAATACCACGGAAAATTATGTATACTAATATTATAAAGAGGTAAAACTTGTAAGTTTGTATGCAGGGGATAATCTTAGGAACTGCTGGTCGAATCGCCAAAATTATTTCACTGATAGTTAGCTACAATGTTCCCGAGGCTATAAAACATCACGCTAGGATCAAATGGAGCCGAGCAGCGGGCGAAACGGCGCGCGAATAGCTATTAGTAATAAAAATGAAAATGACAGTCATTTGAAAAAAATAATTACCTTAGCATCAACATCTCGATCCCACATATCGTTGATGGTGCATCCCGCCCCCCTCATAAGACCAGCACCAACGAGGAACAGGCCAGCAGTTTGCAGGGACGTTTGGAGCGGCACCGTCCCGGGAACTGAAGCCATGGCTATCGACCAGGCACAGGGCCAGTAGAGAAGGTATATACCTGAAAAATACCATTATCCTACATTTTTATTGCGGTTAAATGTTTGAGAGCCATGCTTCGGCACGAATGGGTCGGCTAGACCGGAGTGATACCACGGCCTCACAGAAAACCGGCGTGAAACAACCACAGCGTTGCGTTTCGCCGGGTTAGTGAGGTTACCGGAGGCCCAATCCTTCTCCTACCCCAATCCGTTCCCTTTCCCAAAATCTCCAAATCCCTAATCTTCAAAAGGTCGACAACGCACTCGTAACTCTTCCGTCGTTGCGGGTGTCCATGGGCGACGCTGATTGCTTACCATCAGGTAATCCGTTTGCTGCAAAAAACCTGTCGAGTCCGAGTACCGGTATCATCGATATAGGAGCTATGAATGCCTTGCCAAATTTTTGGAGATCGTTTACGATATTTAGGGATCGGGCAGGGAATTCCGGTCGAGCCGACCCATAGCTCTCCCACACTTGAAAGTCCCTATCCTCTTAAGGGCAACAGTGCACTCGATCATCCTCTGGGCAGCGTCGATTGCTTACCATCAGCGATCCGTAAAAAAGAAGTTTTTGATGTCATAAGTCGGCAAACGAGCAGACGGATTACCTGATGGTAAGCAATCAACGCCGCCCATGGATACTCGTAATACCAAAAGAGTTACTACAAGTGCGTTGCCGACCTGTTGTAGGTTATTAGGGATTTAAGGGTAGTGGAATAGGGTAGTGGAATTGGGTAGTTTCGTAGGTCAAAAATAAATTAATAGGATGTTTCAATACATACAATAAAATATTGAAAAATAACTATACTTTTATTCATCGATCGATCGATACACCAAGTTTTAGATTTTTTTAAGCTAATTATTGTGAAATAAGTATGCTATTTGACGCAAAAATGTTATGACGTCATAGCTCAGTTTTTCACACAAATTTCATAGTAAACTATCGTTTTTGACATTTGGAAAAAAGTATTGAATTTGACTAGTTGGAAACTACCGTATTGAAGATGGGAGGAAAGTTGATGTAAAACACAAAACTTACCAATAGGTTTGTCCCATCTTGCCAACTTTAAATATGGATCAACCTTATCTTTCCAAAATCCGGGCCCAACATCTATATGTCTATGGTCAGGTAAAACCTTTTCTTGCAACTTGTCATAGACAATCTTTGGCGTGGTGGTCTCTATGACAACTTTTTGTCTATGCTGGTCACTTTGAGTTGAATGAACTCTGGTAATTTCGTATCTGTGATTTGTATTTTTTAAATATATTTGACCACAGATACATGAGTAAGTTAGTGGAACACTGAATTTTCGTTTGGCGTTTAACGATATTGTTCTCTGTATAAGGTTTTGTAGTTTAGTTATTTTGTACATTTTAATACTATTGTTCAGCATTTTTGGTGGGTTTTCACAGCTCTGGTTTCTGGAAAAAAAATGTTTTTTTTTTTATTACTTTTTAAATTAAGAATGTTGCTATTGACTTGACTTGAAAAGGGGATGCCCCCTGTCGACAAAAATACCTATCGATTTTTTTATGAAAATAAATTCATCAATGACTTCAATGACTCTCTTGCCCTGGGAGAGAGTCAGACTCTTACTGTCTAAAAACCACCTTCCTTCTCCTGCTCCAGGCAGAGTCTATGGTACCTTATCATAGTATTATTTACCTATTATTATAGAGTCTAAACTATTTCAAATTAGGAGGCATAAGCTGCTCATGAATAAGAGTTGTGTTGTGGTTTGAAACTAGTAGAGCTTTCCTCAGTGATATCACGTGAGTTTGTCTTTATCTATACTAATATTATAAACAGGTAAGTAAACTCCTTGCAGACTAAAAATGCCCCTTCCTTCTCCTTTTCCAAGCAGAGGCTGTGGAACCTTATCACAGTATTATTATATATATTTATTAAAATCACTCTAAAATTACATTTTTAAATATTACTATAAAATAATATATAAAAGTAGGAGCCAGCCGGCAGCGGGATCAAGGTCCAAGCTACCGGCGGTTAGGGCTCTAGAGACAGGAACCTCCTCACAATACGTGCCGTTTCAAGTGAGGAGGGCCTCATACAGAAGGAGGACTGCCTTCTGTATGAGGCCCTTGATCCATCCGCCTAACGTCAGCCTCTTAAGGTGGTTGTCGAGGCTTTTAGGGACTAACCCATTTGCCGACACAACTATCGGCACAATGATAGCCGAGTCCACACTCCACATGTCGACAACCTCGTGAGCTAAGTCAAGATATTTCAATTGTTTATCTTTCTCAGCTTTCACGAGGTTCTCGTCATGAGGAATGGCAACATCGATTATCGTCGTGCGACGCGCTAGTCGGTCGACCACCACTATGTCCGGCTTATTGGTTATAATAGTCCTGTATGTTTATCACAGTATTATTCATTATTATACAGTCTACAAAACTTTTTAAAATTAGAAGTCATACTAATTATGTTACTGTGATATCACTACATAGTATAAAACAAAGTAATCCTTAAAACTACTCAATGGATTTTGTCGCAAACTTTTAATAGATAGAGTGATTGAAGAGGAAGGTTTATATGTATAATAACATCCATTACACAGAGAAGCAATTTAATATCAACATCAGTGGGTTGCTAGATTACTATAATAGCATTAAAATTGCTTTGAATGTTATTTAAATATATTATCTTTTGTAGTATTATCATAACAAGTATTGCTTTTGTGTTTAACCTTTGTGACACACCAATTTTGAATGTGAAGATATATATAGAATTGCAAATTAATATTTAAATTTTTCTTCATTATGTCAGTGGTGTCTAAATAATCATAGAAAGTATATATATATATAATAATATAACTAGGAAAAAGTCACATTGGTACTTGCCAAGTTCCCAACCTGCACCCTTATGCATGAAAAGGCCTAAACCAATGGGCCATGATGAAATATGGTGGAGGAAAACATCTTGAGGAAACCTGGACTTATAATTTTAAATTACAAGTTTAAAATTGCCAATCCTTGCTCAAATCTTCTCCATGTAAGTGAGCCTTTGCTTAGGAGTGGGCATTTATAGGCTGATGATGATGATTTAAATTTTAATTTTTTCACTTATGTAAAGTACCAAAGAGGATTATTGACTGATAATTAATTAGAGGCAGCCACACAAAGTGTTTAGTGTTAGAATTCTCTAACAAAACAAAACTTTGTGATCCAGAAATTTTTGTTCCGGGTCTGGGTATGATGTGTATGGCGAAATTAGGTAGTTTCCTAGGTCTGAAATAAATTAATTCAATGTTTAAATACAATAAAATATTGAAAAATAACTATACTTTAATTCATCAATCAATTGATACACTAAGTTTTAGATAATTATTTTGTAGCAAATTATTAAGAAATAAGTTAATGCACCCCATAAAAATTGCAAGTTAATGCTATTTTTATTAATATAGGGGACATCCATATATCACAATACTTAGCCTATAAGTGCCCACTGCTGAGCAAAGGCCTTTTCTCCCATGCAGTATGAATGGGCATTAACCCACATGTTTGCTCAAAGAGGATTGGCATTTTCAATAAGAAATTAGATTTGGTTTTGGTTTTCTCATGATGTTTTTTGTATGCCAGTGGTGTCTAGGTAATCTTAAAAAGTACATTTAATTCAGAAAAAAAATGATTGGTATTGGGAAGGTTAAACTAGATTCCTTCTATCTTATCCTACTAATATTATAAATGTGAATGTTGATTTGTGATTCTTTCACTCAGAAACAGCTAGACTGGTTTGGTTGAAATTTGGTATATAGATAGGTGTTTTTTTTTGTGAGGGGAAAAATCATCAAATGACTTCTCTTCTATGGGATGAGGCGAGGGGGAGTGACAGACTCTTAACAGACTAAAAACCCCCAGTTCTTGGAGATTGGTTATACCAAGGATAAACAAAAAGGCTGCTTTTTGTCAACATACAACGCGGCCGGAAACTAGTATTAAAAAAATTGGGCGAGGATTGATACGAAAGAGGATATATAGCGTGATTAAACCAAAGATAAAGATATCCTACTGCCAAATAAATAAAAAAGTTTTTTTTTGAGAATTGTTAATTATCACTGCGTTTACTTAATCGCATAACTTTGGACCGTATAACATGCCAAAGAATAAACCACTTTACCATATATTTTAACAACAATAAAGTGCGAAAATATTTTTATTTCATCATGAACTAGTATATAACCTATAACCACTAAAATCGTCAACATAACATTAAAAACTCACCTCTTTAACCTTAATTATTATTAGGAAAAGACAAATGAGTCGCAACTTAAAATAATTCAACACTTATTACACAAAATTATGACTAAAACGAATCATTATGTTTTTTTAAAGGTTAATGTCAGATTCAAGGACATAAACATTCAAGTACACGGTTTTTAAACAAGGTACACTTGAGACTTTGTACTGTAATAAGAAGGTGATTTAAGGCTAATAATTAATTAAATTTATTACATAAAATTAAAAGACAATATCAGTCAAGCAATGTGCCGTGCCGCTGGTGACATTTATGATATAATACTTGACATTGACATTTGAATGATAAAGTTTACTGTGACGGTATTTCCTTTGTTCAGAAATTGATTTGTGAATATTTATGCTTCTTATTTAAAATATCGACTAAGAAGATTTGAAAATAATTATACAGCTTGTAATACCAAATGTTACAAAGTATGAAAATATTATAATTAATGGAACAACTATTTCGAAGAGTTAGAATGCCATAAGATGTAATTAATAAAATATTTTTTGTCAATGTTTCACTTCTGATTTCGGAACGAGACTTCTCATGTCGAAATCGAAATAGTTATTAGTTATAAAAAAATATTGATGAAACAGAAAAAAGATTTTGTCTAATAGGATTTTAGTAAATATTGTTTGGTTATTTCCTTATTTTTCACTTCATACGTAGTCGCTTAAATTAAAACATATCAAAATATGTACAGTACACTAATTCATTAAGTTGATAATATTAAAATATAAGGTAAGTTAATATAATTTTTTGTCTTTTTTTTGTCTACCGGCAGTAAAATTGTTTTGTATTCATAATAACCATTATATCAAATACGTTGCCTGCTAAAGACAGTTCTTCACTATCTGTGTCCTAAGACAAACATAGGAGTTCATTGATAACAACTTATTCACGTGATTTGACTGAGAAAAGCCCTACTAGTACGTATTATAGTAGTTTTTGAAAAACGAGGGTCATTAGGTACCCTTAACGTCCGAGTAATAGAACATTTTAAATAGGACAACTTTCAGTCCCAGCCAGTTGTTTAGTAATACTAACCCTCCTTAAGTTATGTGAGAATCTGTACAAGACTATGATTAGGCCTGCTATCTCGAATACCTGGACTTCAAGACTAGAAGCGTAAGTTTCTCTGGTTATGTAGCATTACAATTTTGAACCATTTAAAAAAAAGATTCAGTTCTGATTTCAAGTATCCGCCCCTAAGGCAACCCACTGACCCAAGTAGGTCCTCAGTTTTAACTGTATACATACATTAAAATATTTAATTTATAATATGTATGTGGTTTCGCAATGAGCTAAGCGATTTAGATGCGGTTTTCAGAGATTAGGTACAATTGGAAATATGCACTGACATAAAAAAGGGAACCTTGTTTTTAGTGAGTTTCACCTGTAATATGTATATACTTACTAGCAACCCGTCCCTGCTCAGCACTAATTATGATACAATGATTTCTGCCACAATTTAATGGATGTTATTATACATTATAAATCATCATCTTCCATCATTTTATCTATTAAACAAATTGCATCAAAGATTATTGTGTAGTTTAAAAGATTTAAGCATAAACGGGACATATAACGAAACTTTTTTAAGAAACATAATATAATGGAATATGAATATGATTCAAACCCTGCTTGAAAGCTTTTTGATTGTCTTCTAAATTAGGACAAAGCTGGAGAAACCTCCATGGTGATAAGCCTCCTTTATCTTATCTCAGTCCTGTACAAACTCAGAGAGATTGATAATTATGTAAGTGTGGGAGAGCCAAGCTTCAGAACAAATGGGTCGGCTCGACCGGACTGGCCTCACAGAATACCGGCGTGAAACAACCCACAGTGTTGTGTTTCGCCGTGTGAGTGAGGTTACCGGAGGCCCAATCCCTTCCTTTCCCCTATCATTCCTGATCCTGATATCCGCAACCCCTATCCCCAAAAGGCCGGCAACGCATTCGTAACTCCATTGCTGTTGCGGGTGTCCATGGGCGGCGCCGATTGCTTAACATCAGGTTGTTTGACGTTTGTACTATAAAAAAAATGTAATAAATAGTGGGTGGACAAGACTCAACACAATTTTGCTAATGGGGATATAAGTAGGAAGCTTATGTTTTTTTATTTTATTTACCTATTTATTATGGGCATGAAGATCCATATACATGTAGGTAGGTACAATAGGGATAATTATAATTTCCATCGTAGAATACTTTAATACCCTTAATTTATGCACTTTAAATTGTATTCAAGCACCAAAACTAGTAAATGATCACCAGATAATTAATGTGTTAAAAATACTTATAATACACCACTATTTCGATAAGATAGGTTAGGTTAGAACTGTGACCCTTAATGACATCAAATGTCCTGATCAATAATTCATCATCATCATCATCATCATCCTATAAGTGCCCACTGCTGAGCAAAGGCGTCTTCTCATACGGAGAAGGTTTGAGCATTAATCACCATGCTTGTTCAATGTGGATTGGCAATTTCGAACTTATAATTAGAAATAACAAGTCCAGGTTTCTTCTATATATAATAATACTCGGCAACCATCTAAAGAGGCTGACGTTAGGCGGATGAAGGGCCTCATACAGAAGGCAGTCCTCCTTGAAACGGCACATGTTGTGAGGAGGTTTCTTTCTCTGGACTCCAGAGAAAGAAACCTCCAGAGTCTGGAGCCCTAACCACCGGTAGCTTCGACCTTGCTTCCTCTGCTGGCTGGCTCCTATTTATATTTATTTTGAAATATAATTTTATCATATACTAGCGGCTCGCCCCCGCTTCGCATGGGTTCCACTATCTCGCTATCAAAGGGTCACTTTTTCCTAATCTTTCCCTCTACTTTTCTAATATTTTCGTACGTATAGAACCTTCTCCTGACAATAACAAACACAACAAAAAAAGAATTAGCAAAATTGGTCCAGGCGTTGTTGAGTTATGCGCTTACCAACACATTTTCGATCCATTTTTATATATAAGAAGATTTTATAGTAATATATAAAAAAAAGTATTTTTATATGAATTTTAATAAAAATGTGCTACAGTAAATATAATTGAGTAGGTAATACGAATGTAAATAAAGTGTCGGCGTCGTGTTTCTCTGACTGTTGTCACGTAAAAACCACAAAACCGGCGCCACATAAATCCGTTCGGCAAAAACTCGTCTTTGAAAATATTTTCGAGGTGTAGTGTCGGAATGCGCCCTACGAACGATATTAATTTTTGCTCATTATTTTACTGCAATCTGTCCTGCTAATTGAGCTGTACTATTTATTTTATTTATTTATTTATTTATTTATTTATTTAGGCTTACCGACTAAGACATACAGACAATCTTAAAAAATAATGAAACAACAGTTAGTGTATGCTCTTAAATTAAAGGTAGGCTCAACATTATTTTTAGGTTGTTTAAGTAAAAGAGGTAAAAATTAAAAGTAATTAAAAATAAAAAAAAATGAAATTGGGAAAAATATAATAAAACTATAAAAATTAAAAATTAGGCAAACTCTTAATGTCTCTTTTAAATACTTACACTTATTTTACTTGCAATTATATCCAAGTCGTGTTTTTTATAAATGTCGTTACACCTTCTGAGAGTATAAGTGAGAGGTGCGTTGCTGCCATACTTATTTCGGGTATGTTTCGTGACGAATGGGGTATAATTTACTAGCCTAGCTGAAGACCTTGATACTTTTATTTGACTATGACTGGGAATAAAACTGGGCTCAAAGACTATACATCCAGTGATGTATCGCTATTTATAAAACGGGTATTAAAACGTATGAAACCGCTCGTTGGGGTTGTCGAACTTACACGTCGTTGTCTCCGCGGGTATCGAGGCAGGGACGGCAGCGGCACATGTTCCAACGCGTGCATTCTCAACAAATGCTGATGCATTTGAACCTGCATATGGCATGTTTCACAACGCCTATGGATATTCGCATTGTAAGGTGATCTGTTTGCAGAAATTGCAGTGCGCAATAACCCTATTTGAAACAATGAATTTATATTTGCAAATAGGCCATAAAACGGCACTTTTACAAGTCAATTTATATGTAAGTCTGCTGGCATCTACTTGGTCAAAGAAGGAAGCTAGCTTGTGCAGATTCTTCACCACCAATTTGGTATTTTCCTCGATTTCTTAAGATTTCAATATAATTAAATCTATATACATATATCTCTCCATTTAATCGTAGCGTGACGTTTTATAGCCTATAGCACTCAGGAATATTGTAGCTATCTATCACCGAAAATTTTGGAAATCCGACCAGAAGCGGTTTCAAAGATTACCCCCTACATACAAACTTACAAATTTTACCTCTTTATAATATTAGTATAGATATATCATCATATGGGGCCGTGGTATCACTCCGGTCGAGCCGACATTCGTGCCGAAGCATGGCTCTCCCACACTTAGGTTATACACGTGACATTTATCAACATTGAGGGTAGATGAAGGTCAATGACCTCCATCGACGGAGTAGTATCGCCTAACAGTCTGCTTGTGACCAACAGCTGGTGTAACTCTGCCGAAAGGTCTAGCAAACAACTAATTAAATTAAAAAAAAAATATCGTTGGTACTGCATTGATGGATTCGGCGATTTAAGTCAAAGGTAAAAATCCTAATGTGCGGCAACGTTTTTTTTTTTTAAAAGTAATTTTTGATTTTTATTGGTTACGGTTTTAAGATAAAAGTGTTGTTTTTTCCATAAAGATGTTTTTTTTGTCAAATCAAATCAAATCAAATCAAATTCTTTATTTCAAATAGACCAAAAAAGGCACTTTTGAACGTCAAGCAAAAAAGATATCATAAGGTTTAACTTTATATGTGTCAGTTGTGAGAGGAGAATCATAAAATGACTTCTTCCGCCCAGAGACGGACTATGTAATAGGTCGGCAAACGAGCAGACGGATTACCTGATGGTAAGCAATCAGCGCGGCCCATGGACACCCGCAACGGCGGAGTTACGAGTGCGTTGCCGACATTTTAGGGATTAGGGATTTGGAGATTGGGTGCGGGAAAGGATTGGGCTTCCGCGGTAACCTCACTCACACGGCGAAACACGACGCTGTGAATGTTTCACGCCGGTCTTCTGTGAGGCCGTTGGTATCACTCCGGTCGAGCCGACACATTTGTGCCGAAGCATGGCTCTTCCACACTCAAAAAACTCTTATTGACTAAAAACCCCTTGTTCCTTCTCCTGCCATATTGTCTGCTGATATTATCCATAAAGTTTGCGCAGTTATTGTGTTCATTCAACGTTTCTTTTAATTAAT